TTCTATAAAAGTTTAAAATCGTTATTAGTGCGTTATTTATTTTGGTTGAAGTGTATATATACTGCTGCAAATAATTATAAACTCAAAGTGATTTTAAATGCAATGCAAAAAATTTAAAACTAATTGCTGGATTTACATAGTCTCATAAAATTATAAGTCCGAAAGAAAAAACTTAAAAAATTACATAGTATGTTATACCGTTAATACGCTGCTAAACTAAACTGCTAAATTATAAAAGAAACTTTTTTTCATAAGAGTTTACAGAATTTAAATGATTTAGCAGAATTCTAGCGATTTTTTTTTATTAATTTGGCGGGACGGCAGAAACAGAAATGGCAACACTGGTGGTGAGTACCGACTTGCTTGCGCGCATGTTAGCTGTTTTGTAGTTCACTTTTGCATTGTCAGCGTTCAGTTAGGGATGCAAATTTTCAGAGCCAACATCGATATTTCGATGTACTGAAGAAATGTATGGATCGCGTTTTGAAAGTGCTACACGTTCAATATTTATTGACGGTATTGCGATCCGCGATCCAGATTTCAAAATTTTTATAAATATCGCGATACTTGGATCACGTCAATAAATACTGACCGTGTGACAGAGCCCAAAGAATATAACATAAAGATGTGAACGCAATGGCAATTTTGAACCGAAACTAAAGTCGATGTTTAAAACATCGTTAAAATTGACATCGATATATCGCGCAATTTTATGATGTTGAGTAATTTTCAAATATCGATGGTAAACATCGGTTTTTTAGCCGATGTTATCGATGTTTCAGAAACATCGATGCATCGTTTGCATCCCTACGTTCAGTTGGTCGCAAATTTTCGAAGGGAGGGATTGTTCTTGCGCAGATAATTTTTGGTTAGAAATTTGCTTGGAAAAAAAGGACAATCATGCGCAAAACAACCTTTTTATATGACGGTTTTCTACCGAACACATTCGCAAGCAAGATCGTTAACACGTTATTGTTCGCCAGTATGAATTAGCACATACTATTTTTTACATATGTATAATCATTTTAAACTTTATTGATTTATTAATAAAAAAATTAAATTGGTCGGCATTTCATGATGTTGAATTATTTTTAGTAAATAGACTACAAATATAGTTAGAAATTGTTCCTCTATAAACAAAGAGGTGAATGTAATAGCCTTTGACAATATACATTGCATAAAATGGGTTAATACACGTACACGGCTATTGCTCACCCTTTCGGTTTTAAATTTTTACCCCGCATCAAGCACCTGCTTGCCCGCGCTGCTGTGCGCGAGCTGTTCTGCCGCCCATCCCTACCCTAAGCGATAGTTTAATTATATTGAAAACTTTCTTGTTGATAACAAATGTGTCACACTTACAGTTTGAAATTTTCACAATGCCCAAATAACTTTAGCCCAATATAGTGATGATAATACAGTATTTACATATATTTTTTCTTTTTACAAAATTTATAGAGCATTTGTGCGGTACTTTACATGGCTATAAGCGTTTATCTCACTGGTAATAATACAGACGAGAGCTTTCGCATATATTACTTCGTTCTGCTCGCAGTTTTGGCCACGTTAAGTGCACAAGCCTGGGGTTTCTTCGTAGGTGCAACGCTGCCAACCAAGGTGAGTTCAATTTTTTTAATTACGATTTTGAAATTATTCTGAAACTGATCTCATTCATTCATAGTTGGCCGTCTTTTTGGGTCCTATTTTGGCGGTTCTCTTCTCGGTGTTTGGCTTCTGCACGCGTTACATCGACATTACACCGATCTTCCGCTGGATGTGGCATATTAGCTACTTCCGTGCCGGTTTCCATGGAGCACTTAATGCCATTTATGGTTTAGAACGCCCATTCTTACCTTGTCCAGAGACTACGATGTATTGCCATTTTCGCAGTCCGAAAGTGTTTCTCAATTACATGATGATCTCGGATGTCAATATGGCCGACTGTGTTACACTGATGGTTGTCGTGATTGCTGTTATGCATGTACTCACACTTATTACGCTCTGGCATAAGTTGAACAAGCGTTAATTAACCAAATATATGTACATAAGCGTACATATACACACATTTGCAGGTACATTAAAAGTTACACAAATTTAGTTACAAATACGAGCCAAATACATACATATGTAGGAAAGGAAAATATTTTGCAAATAGAAATGCATCTATACGGTTTATGGTTTTTAATTATTTGAACTCATGGTCTAAGAATGAATTCAATCGCAAAGTTTTGACTCATTACTTCACAAAAAAACAAAAAACACGCATTAACATACATATATTGTACATTTATACGTATAAATAGTAATTATGATAACTTAGTAAGTAAAATAGTATTAAAAACATAAACTCTTACAAAATTCGTCGTCAGAAAAAATTTAATTTATCAATATAGCTAAAACTTGTAGTTTAGTTTAGTAATTTTGCACTTGCCAATTTTATTCAATGAAAAACTTACCAAAAATCTCTAATAAGAGTTATTTTACTTTAATTGGAAAGCTAATAATTTGTATATTTTCTAAACTTTTTATTACATATTTAGTATGTGTCAAAATTTAAGATGTAAACTTTTTATATAAAATCTGAAATGTTATTTGACATTCCTACTGTACAAAAATTAATCAGAGAAATGTGATCAATAAGTAAATATTTAGTTTAATTGTAAGGTTAATATTATTTGTGAACCCTAACAAAACCATTTTCAATGATTTGCATTTGTCAAATGTGTACATTTTACTTAATTTACATATGTAAATAACAAATAAATAAAGATTGGTAAAAAGTATAAAGGTTTAATCCACTTTATTGAAGTTCAAAAAAAGGGATCTATGATTTATGAATGTAAATACTTATACACATGTATATATGAGCCGTTCATTTTGAAAGTGGCATCAGTCACATTTTCAAAAAAACAAAGTTAATGATAACTCCAATTAGAATTTAACAGTATCTGCTATTAAGAAAAAAAATTGAATTGATATGTTAAGAACTACTGCGGTGTTGTTTGAGAGAAGTTTTACTAATGAGCGGTATAACGAAAATGTTTATTTTGAAAGTGGCATAAGTCACTAAAAGTCAATTTTGCACAAAAAAATATATACTCGCAAAAATAGGAGCCAAATATAGTAAACTGCGTTTTTGATTTCCTTCTCTGGCGTCATGATTTTTATTTACAAGGACTTTGCAATTTCAAAGATTTGATTAGTTCCAAAAATTGTTTAAAAAATCCAGTGCTATATAGAATAACAATATGGTTACCAAATAAAATATAAAGTTCTTTAGAATTGAAAAATATTAAATTTTTTGGTGCATAAGGACGAATAGGTATTGAAAATGTCCTTTTAAAATATTGTCCTCGACTATCGTTGCAAATTTGCAGTGTTTATTTTTGAAAAAATTATAGGTTAAGGATTAATATACACAATACCATATCCTCGAATTTCGTCCTTCTACTTTAATAGTGTAAAGAATTAAAAACATTTAAAAGGGAATTTTCAATATCAATTCGTCCCTGTGTAACAAAAAAATTAAATATTTTTCAATTGCAAAGAATTTATCTTTTGTTGGTACCCATATTGTTAGTCGAGATGGGAATGTTACTCATACGCCATGTACGTACGTTCGATTTTAATTTCACGTGATAAATGTAGATCCAATATGGATCCGAAATTTTGAATTTTTTAAATCTGAATCTAGTCTTCTTGACTATTTTGTCGTTTCCGATCGCTCTTCTGTGTGGGCCATACATTTTCGTACCAAAGCGTACCGCAAATGGAAAAGAAGTCGTACTAGCGCGAATTGGGATGCTTTTCGCGCAGCAAGGAATAAAGCCACTTCAATTATTAGAGCAGGAAAGCAGCGTTTCTTTGCAGCCAAGCTAGATCCTTCTCTCCCTTCTGCTACTGTGTTCCCCAGGGGTCCATTTTAGGTCCTCTATTATTTAGTGCCTTTATAAATGATATTTTCTCTACCCCTGCAATATGTAAACATGCACGCATATGCAGATGACATCCAGATATATTTGTCCGGGCAAATCAATGATGTGGCCAGACTTACAGGCATGTTCTGCAAATCGTTTTCGGGTGATATTTTCGGAATTCCCGTTTTCATATCGTTTGACATGTCTGGTAAATCGTTCCGTTCTCATTTTTTCGAACATGGGCAAATCGTTTTGTCACCCTGTTCTGGAAATCGAAATCGTTAAAATTTTCCCGTTTTATATTCGTCAACTTAAACAATAGCGGTTTGGAATTCTACTAAACGTTTTGTTGAAATAATATTTATAACAATGTAAGTCCTTACACAAATTAGCTGCTTATGTGTAAATTAAAGTTGTTAGTTAAAAACT